CCACGGGCCATAGTTTGCCCAGGCTTGACCTAGATGGTACTTGATCTTGCCATGAAGGCAGAGGACTGGACTTGATAACCTCTTGAGGCCCCTTCCCATTCTAGTATTCTATGATTCTCTAAGATAAATTCCCAAAAGTGATTATAAAGAACTGTAGTGCTGCCATCTTCCTAAATCTGCAGCCCACTCCAGTGACTTCGCTAATACTCGTAGCTTTACTGCAGCCGAGTGTTGCTGTTATTCAGAACTACTATATGAGTAGACATGAAATGGATAAGAATGGGTCTACTTCACTGTGCAGAGGCTTAGGGTACTATCAGAAGCAGCAGATAAACACTGAAGCTATTCACTGGGAAGGAAAAAAAGACTTAAAAACAGAGGCAGGAGGCAGAATAGCAAAAACTCTCAACCTTTCCCCTTTCAATGCCAACTTGCCTTTCTTCCTCTGCTTTTAACAGGTGCCGCATACTCCTAAGGGAGACAAAGCTTGAAACTGTAGCACAGGTGGAACTTTTGCTATCTACAGAATCCATAACAGTAGCAGTAATTAACAGAAAGGAAGAAAAAAGGAAGAGAAAGGAACCTTCCGGTAGCCAAAGAAGTATCAACTGCGTATCTGTACTAACCTAATGGATATGGTCAGGAACTGAAGCAAAAAAATCTATGGCACTGGCTCAGGGTAGAAGCCAAAAACTGGGACCTGTCCCATCCAGAATAGGACTAGTCAATAGGATGTGGAGGTTGAAGGAGTCATACCAAAGGAAGAAATGTGTATATGACAGCTACAGGTCAGCAGATAGATTAAATGATGACATGTCAGCAAAACCAAGATAAACAGGATCCAATAAATTCTTCAAGAGATTATGCAAAATTAAGGCACAAAGTTATAATAATGTAGGAGGACAACTGAGAATGTACAGATGAAAAATACTGAAAAAGGCCTGGTCAACTATATTAACTATATGCGCAGACAACTATATGCTCAAACAATCCACTCAAACCCCTTTTCTTGCTGGGGTATATCCTGATGTGATCCTAAGTTTTTGCATTCCTTTACAGTACCTCCAGCTCCCACTACACTTCCTACTCCTAAAATTCTCAACATTTTTTTAATTTTTCTGACTTTGCAGAAGTCCTTATCTAATTTTTCTCACAGTGACAAAAGTTTGTCCTGTTTATTTTAATGTATGTTTTAACATTTCAAGAACTCCCAAGCTATGACAAAGTTTGCCCTTCCTTAAAGAGAACACACACAAACAGATTTGCTTCCTATTGATAATGTTTCCAGATAGAAACTACAGCAAAGAAAAGAAAACAGAATGTGTGTGGTACGAGCAAGGACATGAGCAAAAGTATTTCAGGAATTGGTCACTGCTAATGGAACAAGCATATGCAAAAAAACAGTAGGTGTGCCACTAATATTTAGTTACATCTTATTTAATAAAAATCTCTGAATACAGAGTAAAGTTTGGCTTTGCAGAATGTTGAGTGCCTCATGAATTGTATTGAGACATTCTGTTCCATCCAGGAGCCACTCAGCACCATACAGGATAAGGCCCCAGGTCCTTTTTTGCCTAATGGGGCTTGAAATTAGAATTATATCAACTTTGATGAAAGCATGCATCTAGTTTCTCTATAACTAAATACTTCTGAACTACACACACACACACACACACACACACACACACACACAAATAGAACATTTGGTAACTTTTAGCAGCAACGCTCTGTCAGTCACAATAGTTATCCCTATACTTATTTGGTCAGGGGCCAACTTAGACACACTGACTCGTAACAGATAGCATCTTATGCCAGAAGTGACAGCACTGAAATCAACAAAGCTATCTATGCAGTAGGGCACTATTCAACACAAGTAAAGATGATAGATCTTGCCTTTTTGTAAAATCCTATATAAGTTTTAAATATATATGTCTTCTCCCTACACCAGTTCTATATTCTTTCTCCTTTCTCTTGCACAGTGCTCCTGCACTCCACATGCAAAACCTGAAATAATTTTAAATTACCTTTGTTGGTTCCTCAGCCAACAATAGTATGGGTGGAAGCCAGGATCACATTCATTTTCAGAGGAACCAGATGTTGGTAAAATGGTCATATTTTTCAGCAAGCTGGTCTGCTTTGTGCCTATCTGAACAACAAGAGCAAGTGCCCAGCCAAATTCACAGCCATGAAAAACATGTCACAGACTATGAAATCTGGATTTGCACATGGAATCTGTATAGTATAAAATAAGTGTACATAAAAGACTAGATTTCACGGGGGAGACCAGCGTTTCTCAAATTGGGGATTGACACTCAAAAAACGGTTGTGAAGGATGTTGTAAGGTTACTGTAGTGGACTTAAAGTGTTGCCACACTTACTTCTACACTACCTTCAGAGTTGGGAGGCCAAAGAGTGGCAGCTGCTAGCCAGGTGCCCAGCTCTGAAGGCAGCACCCACCAGCAACAGCAAAGAAGTAAGGGTAGCAATGCCATACTATGCCTCCCTTTAGGGGAGCCAACAACTTTGCTGGGGCCCTAGGCAAGGTGAGGGGTCAGGGTCTCAGGCGAAAAGGACAGAAAGGGCCAGCTAGCCCTCAGTGCTGCGCAGACTGTGACATGCCCTCCCTATCCTGCCCAGCCCCCAAAGGCTACGTCTACACTGCAGAGTTTTTGCACAAGAAGTTTTTTGTGAAAGAGTCATTGCGAAAACATTTTTTGCACAAAAGCACGGCCACACCTCAAAGCGCATCACTTTTGCAATGCGCTTTTGCACAAGAGAGCGTCCACGCTGCATGGACACTCTTGTGCAAGAAAGTTCTGATGGCCATTCGCAGAATGGCCATCAGAGCACCTGTGCTTTTTCAGAGAGGCTCTTTTTGCGCAAGAAACCCCTGCGGAGTGTCCACACATGCCTTTTTGCGCAAGAGCTATAGTGCAGAAAGGAGTTATGCCTCATAAGAGGTATACCTACAGTGCAAAAAGCCCTCTGTTCTGTCGACTGAGTGCAGATTTTCTTGCGCAAAACCTTGTAGTGTAGACCAAACTGTCCCGGAGTGCACGGCGCAGCGCTCTGACAGCGATTTAATGGACCCGGTGCACTTAACACACACTCCCCCCGCCTGCCCCCACAGGCCTACCTCCCTTACTTCTGTGCTGCTGCATTCACAGTTGGGTCACGATTCCAACAGTTACAACATTGTGAAATTTCAAATTTAAATATCTGAAATTGCGAAATTCGAGTGTTAAAACCTAATGACCATGACATTGATCAAAATGGACCCTGCTGCTACTGGAGAGCAAATTACACTAGGGTTTCAATCAGGCTGGGGGGTGGGGGGGCTTATTATTTATTTTTTGTTATTAGCAATGGGACAAAGCCCCAGAGTTCAGATACAGAAAGGAGCTTTGTAACCTGTGTTTAGATCTATGGCTGTGATTCGGAACAGCCCTGAGCTCAGTATAGAGCTGCCAACCCTGCAGGCTTGGCCTGTAATCTCTTGGATTGGCACTGATCTCCTAGTGACTACTGAAAGCAATCTGGGAGATTTAAAAAGGATATTTTTAAGAAAATGACATTAAGTCATGTTTGGGGGGGAAATCTGCTGGAATAGCTTCAGTCAGAGTTGGCAACTCTAGCTCCATACCTGGGATCTGAACATTTCCAAAAGTTTGGAGGATAGTTTGGGTTCAGACTCTTACCCAGATAGGGTCTGTGGCCTGAGCGCCAGGTATGGCAGATCAGGGGAGTTAGTTTGAGTCGGCTGTCCTTGGTGGTAGCATTCCACGGAACAATTAACAAGCAACCACCAGCTCACCAGGCACATAAAGACCGTCCCCCTCCTACTTGGCCAGCAGCGAGGCTAATGCTCCCTGCGTGACAGGGTCATTTTGAACGGCACTGATTGGGTAGCGCTGCCCAGGCTGAGGTGGGGGCTCCCCTCCTTTCTTCATTCCTTCTGCTGGAAGCAGGAGAAGCCTTGGGCCGCTTGGGACCGGCCTCGCCTGCGAGATGTGGCCCAGGGCCCAAGCCCCGGGTGGGAAAAACGGCGCCATAGCCTCCTTCCCCCGGCACGTGGCCGCCCTACCGGGAGAGCAGGGCCCTGCCGCTAGGCCCGGGCGGCTGCCCCTCTTGGGCCCTGCGCGGGGACCCGGGCTCCGTGCCCAACCCGGGGGGCAGCGGGAATCCCAGCGAGCCGCGTGGGTTGTCCCCGAGGGGTCTCGGGCGTGTCCCGGGCTGTGCAGAGCGTGCCGGGGGCAGCCTTGCAGCAGCTGGAGGAGGCAGGAGTCCGGGGCCCCCAGGCGTTCGGCTGAGCCCAGCAGCTGGCTGGAAGCCGCGCCCGGTGGAGGGGGGAGCGGCGCACGGAGGTGTCCCTGCTCGGAGCGGAGGACGCTGGGCTTCCCCCTCCCTCGGGGGCTGCCGGAGACAGCAGGCAGCGAATGCCCTTCCCAGCCCCGACCGGGCTCCTTTGTGGCTCGTGGGGAAGAGCCGCTCGCGCTCGCGACACACAGACGCGGAGAGCCACGCGCTGTTGGAGTCGTTTATTGGCAAGAGCTTCTGAGACAATTCTGACTTACAAAGCAGAGTAAGTACCAGGCAGGAGGGCGTGTGCCAGCGCTCCGGGGCTCCTCCGCTTTAATCGGAGCTTTCGTGTTTGCACAGGAGCCTTCTTCCTGAGCCTTGTGCACTCAGCCTGGGGGGCAGGGCGAGCACAGCGGCACTCCCAGCCTAGCCCTGGCTTTCCCAAGGCTGCAGGGCAGTCAGTGTGGACAGCACACCAGAGAGAGAGACAGAGAAAGGGAGATGATTGCTAACTGAAACTAACAAAACACAGAGGAGCTGGACCAGAGTGACAAGGAAGAAGAGGTGTTTCTCTGAAGGAGAGAGAGGAGAGTAAGTGGAGTAATTGCACGGAGACTGAAGAGCGAGAAAGTTTGGAGGGAAGGGGTGTTTTTTTTAATTCTGCACCATCACTGCAAGGAACCTGGGAGGGAATGATTTACCTTCCGCCTCTATCGAATACAGGAGGAGAGCTGCGCATAGCGCAACAATTGCTGAAGACAGCCTGATCTTCATTTCTGCCCTTTGGGATCACAACAACATGAATGGATCTGTGGTGATTAAAAAGAGAGAGAAAGGAGAAGCACGGATTAGGGGAAGTGGGAACATAAAAAGAGCAATGTGTTCCCTAACCTCCTTATCCCCAGCTCCCACCCTCGGAACCAGGTTACAGCCGCTAGACTTGGAAGCCATCCAAAATTGACATATTTGCATTACTAGCTTGAGAGTCTAGCCTCACAATAATGTGCCTTTTGTTACTGAGCCCTTCTAATCATGGTAATCAGACAAACGCTCAGTCTTGGTATTAAATTCGAATTCATTTGAGCAGGAGAAGTGGCGAAAAGATTCCTGCTCCTATATATGCAAAACCCAGATTGAGCTCCGTGACTTCATCCTTTAGGGTGATGATGGTTAATTCAGTCTTTTTTTTCCCCTCGAAGCAACTAAATGTCTCTTTCAGCTGGAGATTTTACTCGGCTCCTGTTTCATAACTGCTGAAGCACTTAGTTAACAGTATTTTAATGGTCTCAAGATAGTTTGGAAATTGTAATGAAACTTTTTTGTTCTGCCTACAAATATGTAAGTCTTGAAGGTCTGAAATGTATGTAACACACAAGAGAAACCCGACACGACCGCCTAAACCCTGATGTTTTCACATCTGATAATTCATTTACACAGTCGGTAGGGAAATAGCTTTACAATGTGCTTGAGAGAAGACAAGAAAAAGAGCCATGCCATTGCTGCAGATAGACGCATATATGGGAATTAGAAAGATTTTAGTCATCCTTAATTACAAGCAGCTGTACATGTATAACCGTGTTTGCTCAGAGCTACATGCTTAGGGCCAGAACTAACCGTCACTACTAAAGCCAAAAAAACACACACGAGTGAATAGGAGTTGAATATTAACTGAAATGTTAGGCCCTTATTCTCCCTGCGGGGAACTACACACCACACAGAAATGTATATAAATGGAGGGGTTATGTGTGTTTGTTACGAACAAATGCTTCAGAAACCAGACTAAGTTCACATGAGAAAGAAAGCCATAAGCAATTAAGCAATGGTGCCAGGAGCAAAATTAAAGGAAGAAAAAGCATAAATCATTAGGCTGATAGCCCATAGGAAGAGCTCGGAGGAAAAATAGTTCTGTGCTACTTAGAGAACCAAAGACAAGACATTTCGTTCGTATAAGATGCTGGCAAGATTCAACACTACCCTTCCCAGCTACTGGCACTGAACTTAAAAGTATTCCATGTTGCCACCCATTAAATTGCTTTTCTTAATTGCTTGACACGGCAAAAAATTACTTGGAACTGGGAAAAAGTAGAGAACGAAAGCCAGGTTCAGAATCCAACTCCCATATGTGGAACTAGGCATAATCATGCCTAAAATCTGAGTTCTCTGCACTGACCTAAGACTGATTAAAGTACGGTACATTGATAACTTCAAAAGCATTCCACTGGGCGGCGTGGGGAAGGACAGTTCTTGCAGCACATCCGCTAACGAGCATTTGGTAAAGGTCTTAAAAGCCTTTAAAGTAAACGTTAAAAGGGCTTTTGTCCGAGAAGTTTTGTCTGGGCTTAGAGTGCCATCTTTTGAGCAGGAGAAAAACCGAACCATTTCAGCCAGATCTCTAAGAGCATGTGCTTTGCTGCCGCTGCC